GGGCCTCTGGCTCGCGCTGTCCCCCCCCAGCGTGCCGTGCCCGGTATCGAGCCGTGGCGCTCAGGGCGGCCGAGCGCAGCCCAACCCTCCACTGACGAGGGAGGACGAGACCTAATAGGAGTGTAGAGGTGCGTGTGCACAGCACCCTAAACTCGAAATAAGATCTGCAATGTATTGGCTCTCTCATTTCAGAACAGCTTCATAAGGTGTTATATTGAGCCATCCCTTAGCCCTCCTGTACTGAGGTCGAGCCGTGGCGCTCAGGGCGGCCGAGCGCAGCCCAACCCTCCACTGACGAGGGAGGACGAGACCTAATAGGAGTGTAGAGGTGCGTGTGCACAGCACCCTAAACTCGAAATAAGATCTGCAATGTATTGGCTCTCTCATTTCAGAACAGCTTCATAAGGTGTTATATTGAGCCATCCCTTAGCCCTCCTGTACTGAGGTTTACTGAGATGGTGAAATAGCGTGCCTGTTATTTAGAAAAAATATTTTGGTGGCTTGTGTAGATGGGGGTAGCTATTTTGGGATACCTCTAGTGTCCCAGAATAGCTGCACAGTGTAAGCGGTACTCAAAGAAACCAGCTATTTTGGGATACCTCTAGTGTCCGAGAATAGCTGCACAGTGTAAGCGGTACTCAAAGAAACCTTGCCCGCTTCTGACAAATGTCAATTGTCCATGACTGAGAGTGTTCTGTGTCAGACATGTCAGCCTCTCAGTCCTAACCCCTGTCACTTCTTAGTAGTTATTGCTGGGAAGAAAGGAGAGAATTTGGTCTGTTCGGTCAAGTATCCCCTCTGTGATAATCCAGTTATGATTATTTTCCTCTTTTTCTTACCCCAGTGCCCTACACTCTCTAAAATCTCCTGATCCCTAATAGTTAATGATTGATTTAAAGCCTGAAAGTTTGTCTGTGATCTCTTAATTGAGATGTAGTGGACCAAATACTTCATACTGGTATAGCAGTTTTCCTCTGTAAGAGACATACATGCTGTTGGCTATTTTTAGTGGGGATGTGAAAGTGTAACTGTACGGGATGTCCTGCTATACGTTGGATCCGCACTAGCGTTATCAGGGCTTAACAATTAGTGTAATCTACTCGCCCGTGGAAAATAGATTACAAGCCGGCACAGCCATGCAGTGCGATAAGCACATGCGCAGCATGGTCTGAGCATGCGCAGCGTGCCGAACTGTGTGGCTGGCGAGTGGGGCTCGCCGCCGCTTGGCAAGCCCTGCTTATTAACATATTTTTTGCCAAACAACCTTTTGCTATATGTCTCCCTCCCCCCCTTTTTTTAAACCTATCTTGGATGTATAGTGGGGATGCCCTGTACAGAGTTAACTCATCGGTTGACCTTCATGGTTACACAGTGGATCCGGGTATGGGCCAGTAGCTTGCTAAAAAAACGCTCCTTGGATGCACTGGCTCCAGGCAACCTCCTCCTCCCTCCCCGCTTCTTCTGATACTGTGGAAGCTGTGTCAGGGGGACAGGTGGGAGCCAGTACGAAAAGCTGGCTCTATGAGTGTACCAGCTCCTGGGGAGTGCCTCCTCCATCCCCCTGGTTTGTAACTGACATTTTCAGTGGTCACACAGTTAATTAATTAAACACATTTTAACATCTGTTTTCTGTGGCACTGTAGTTGGAAGAGTTAAGCTATAGCATTTAAAAAGTGTAGTACAATATACATGAAAGTTATTATATTTTCCTTAATTG